TTTGGCCAGTGCTCAGTCACATGGCCACACCTGGCTGCAAGGGAGTCTGGGAAATAGAGTTTTTGGCAGTCATTTCCCTTGCTCAGATTGGGGGTGTTACTCTATACGGAGGGCAAAATGGATACTGGGAGCTGATGGTCAGTCTCGGCCACGCCCCTATGCAGTAAGTACTGTTATGTCCGTTTCACAGATGACGATGCTGAGGCTCACAGAGGTGAAGTAAATTGCTCCAACACACATGGCCTCTTAAAACTGCCAGCCTTACCCACTGGTATACACACCGTCCTGAGCAGTGGCCAGAGGAGGGCATGTTTTCTCTGCACCAACATGTGGAATCTCACGGAACAAGCAGTGTGGTCATTTGGGGGGCAGGGGGGCAGCAGGAAGCACAGGTGAGCCACTATCCATATGTCATTGGGGCCTCCCAGGAAGAGAACAGCTGCCAAGTTGGGCAGGGCGTTCTCAGGAATGTGGCTGCTCCAAGGTGGGAGGTGCACAAGGAGGCTTTGCCACACCCGTCATTTTTTTCACCGTCTCCAGGGATTAAGATAGGAGAGAGGGAGCCTCTCCCTGGAGAGGCACAGCTGCCCCCCCGCCCCGCTCTGGCCGGCAAGCTCTCCTCCCCAGCCTCTCTCTGCAGTGTCCAGTGGGGCGGGGGGCCTGGCAGGGACAGACCCTCTACTCCTGCTCTTCCCTCTCGTGCCCCCGCCCACAGCCGGCGCTCCACAGGCACCGTTACTGCACAGCCACCAGCCATAGCCCACAGACGCAGGTGCTGCTACTAGCCCTCTCCCCTATGAGAGAATTAAGACACAGAGGCACGAATCGACCTGCCCAGGTAACTCAGGGGGCCCAGAGGGGCTTGGAACCCAGGTTGCTGGGCACCGTGACACCAGCCTGGTCCCACAGGAGTTGTCTTCTCAGGCTGAGTAAAGCTCAACGTAATGCAGCTCGAGACGACCTCCCGACAAATGCACCCAGCAGCGTCTTTCACGTAGGAATTCTGAAGCCACCCTGGACAGGTCTTGGAATCCCAGAGATTCAGGTTCAAAAAGAGTATTGTCGCCACGCGGGCGTTAGGCTTGGCTGCCTGTGTGCAGATCTTGGCTCTGCCCCTCCTGGCTGTGCTTCCCCTGCTGAGACACATCACCAGTGCCAGCCTCAGCCTCCTCATCTGTCCTGTGGGGAGAAGGGTGACCGCCAGTTAGGGCTGTTGAGAGAGGGTGCCTCTCGAAGAGTGACAGCGGCTGGCGTTGCTATCCTTATTTGTACTTTGCTTTGCATTTGAAATGACATCAAAATTTAAAATAATTAAATGCAAGAAGAAAGACATGGGGGAGAATCTACAGATTAGAAGGGACTTAGAACAGATTGTAGCCAATCAGAAAAGAAACCATGGGCATGGCGTTGACCGCACACCCTTTCGTGTACCCGGTGATGGCAGACCTGTATAAATGTGTCACCAGCAAAAAAGAAATACAATTAAAGTTTTAAAAACCTCTTAAATTTTAATGCATGGTTCTTGCCTCAGAGGAGCTGGTCTGGACACAAAGAGCCCTAACCCGGAGAGAGGCCGGAGGGTGACGCAGAGACCAGCCCTGGATCGCGACGTGTGCAGCCGCAGACCAGGGCTGGTTCCCACACCATCCTCTCCGCCAACACAACGGTGCAAGTTGCAGGGGCCTCGTTCCACCCAGGGGAGAGCTGAACCTCAGGGGAGCCACAAGTTCAAGTCACACCACTTGTTGGTGGCGAGATAAAATTGCACACCCAGTGTGCGCGGCTCCGGAGCCCGCTGTTCCCATGACGACAAAGGCGCCAGACTGTGTTCGGGGACTGCCGACGACACACACGAAGGCTCAGGGCCTGAGACGAGGATCTGAGAGCAAGTAGTTTATTTGGGGAGTGACCGGAACACCAGCGGGGGATAGAGAAGCGAGACCAGGAAGAGAGGGCTGCCCTACTGGGTGCCTTACGGAGCAGGAGGCTGCATAGGGAACCGGGGCACAGTCCCCGAGGTGGTCTGGGAGTGGGGAGAGCTCCCCCGAGGCGTCCATCCAAGGTACCTATCCACCGGCCCCCACCCGTCAGGGGCTTGGGTGGCTCCTGGGAGCCTGCGCTCCTGCCCGTTCTGGTGCACCCTGTGGGTGGGCTTCCTCTAACGCCTCAGGCAGAGATCCTCAGTACTGGGGACAGGAAGGCAGCAGGTCGTTCAGGAGCCTTGAGAGCCAAGGGGATGCGGGCAGGAGGACCACGCGTGAGCCCACACGCGTCTGCACAGAAGATGTGCCTGCACCTGCCCCCTCACTGTTTCCATTCTTCCCCCTTATCTAGATTCCTAAGTTTTAAGTAATATCCTTGACAACAAGAAAAGAGCAGCAAAAATACTTGTGAATTTTTAAAAAGACACAAAAAACGTTTTCCCAACATTTCCCCCCAGAGGAGTCAGTGCTGCTGTGTTGCGGGCAGGGGGCCTGGCCGTGGTTTCCTTCCAACCAGGTCCCTGCCTCTGGCCACACACACCCCCGCCCTGCCTCCTTGGACACCTGTGGCCCATCAGGTGACACGTCATTATAGATTTGAACAACTACCGGTATCCATCAGCAGCCTGAGGCCACCGCTGCCCGGCTTCAATGACCCTGACAAGGCCCCTTTCAGACAGAAACTCTTCACGTCGTCGCGGATTGTGCTGGGCCCAGGGTGGGAGCTGCCTTTTCCATTCTGGTACATCCAAATGGGTATGAAACCATTGCCCACGGACGGGAAGCACCGCAACACAGTGAGCCTCTGTGCTGCGGGGGACCCCGGGGTCTCCACCTGCAGACGCGAGCTCCCTTCCCTCCCACTTCCTGGCCGACCTCGGGCCACTCCAGGCCTGTAGGCCTCAACCCCTGCTGATGCCCAGCCACGCAGACGTCAGCCGTCCATGCACGCCTCCTGCCTCTGACCCCAGGTCTCGCAGACAGGCGCATGGCAAAGTGGTGTTAAAGATTTTGTGTCCCTTGGGGCCCCCCCGTGGCTTAGCGGTTAAGTGCGTGCGCTCCGCTGCTGGCGGCCCGGGTTCGGATCCCGGGCGCGCACTGACGCACCGCTTCTCCGGCCATGCTGAGGCCGCATCCCACATACAGCAACTAGAAGGATGTGCAGCTATGACACACAACTATCTACTGGGGCTTTGGGGAGAAAAGGGGAAAAAAAAAAAAGATGCATTTATTAAAAAAAAAAAAAAAAAGAGTTTGTGTCCCCACTTGTCTCTCACATTTTTTTTCCTGCTGCCCTTCCAGTGCTGTTCTTCTCACTGTCTCCACTCTCATCCCATCAAAACCCGCTCTCGAGGAAGAGCCAGTCACTTGTCATCTGCACCCCGTGGACCAGGTGGGACACGCGGTGATGGCTTTGGGGCCAAGGGTCACACTGGGGTCTCTAAGAACAGCCAGGCCAGGTGTGGCAACTTCTACTAAAGCTGAGCACGTGCCCACCCTGCACCCCAGCCCGCCTGCTCTCCTGGGGACACTCCCAGCACAAGCACGTTCATACGGTCACAAAACGTCACGTGCAAGAATGCTCATCGCAGCTCTGTTTGTAAGAGCAAAGAACTAGGACCACCAGACGCTCATCCCCGGGACGCAGGATGGCTAAACCTACGGGCTGTGTTCACGATGCAGAATACTCTACAGCAGCAAGAACAAGGCGTCAGGCCCGCCCAGAGAATCCCGAACTAGCTCCATGGCAGGGTCTGGGAGACCACTGTGCATTTGCCCCCAACACAGAACCAGGTCAACCCCTGAGCAGAATAAATTTAGAGCCACTTCCCAGAATTCTGTGTCTCAGGGGGCAGAGGCTGGACCTGAAACCCTGCAGGCACCAACCATGCTGTGTGACCTTGGGCAAGTGACTTAAACTGTCTGTGCCTTTGTTTCCTCCTCTGAAGAATGGAGATAATGATACCTGCTACTAATATAAATAAAATGACACATATCTTGTAAATGTAATCATATAATAAAGTGAGAACAATGATTGGGAGTCATGGTGGTTGTGGTGGGGATTTGATGAGTTGCTGTGTTTAGAACATTGCCTGGTACAGAGCTAGAGGCCTCAAGGTGATGATGATTATTATTATTATTATCATTGTTATTATTAGGTAGAGGGTGGGGTCATAGAAACACCATAGTCTTTGGAAACTGAGAAATCTGCTGGCTCAGCAACTTACTGTGTGTCCTCAAGAGAATCACTTAACCTCTCTGACCTCAGTTCCTGATCCATAAAATGGGTTGTCGCTGAGGCCAGATAAGATAATGCAGCATTCCCAAAAATCTACGGCATGATCTTTGGGTGGTAACGGGAGATGATTTTTGGTGGACAATGGGCAAATTTTTTATTTTAATGGTAAATATATTTATTTTCAAGTTTATTAGAAGAAAATGCAGAATTAAATATCAAACCCACCATTTTTCAGGAATTATTATTGGGACTGAGTTTCTTTTTACATGTATTTAAATGTCTTCTACAGCAAATCTATTTAAAGAAAAATATCAGTAAAATAGCACAGAAGGAACAAAGACACAGCAGGGATGGGGGTCCTTGGATGAGGCTGGGTAGGATGAGGAGGGGCCCGCCTCCCCCGCGAGGGCATCTCTCAGCTTCTCCGCCGAGCCCGTGGCTGCTCCGCCCTGCAGAGGAGAAGGGGACCGTGCCCCAGCGCGCAGTCGGCGTCCTGAGGACGAACCTACAGCTTCTGTCCCTCGTCCCTCGGGGACAGCTCTGAGGCACAGTCTGGGCGGCTCCTCAGAGGGTCCGGGGCAGGGCTGTGCCCCGGTTGCCCTACGGGTAGTTCACCTTTACTGACGAGCACGTCTGCCTCCTCCTCCCGTCTCCCTCCCCCTGCCGCTCTGGGGCTCTGAATTAGTCTCCTGGGGCCGCTGCGCGAAGTTACCCCAAGCCTCCCAACTCAGAACAACATTAGTCAGGCGTCCTAAACGAGCGTGTTGGCAGGGCTGGTTCCTTCTGGAGGCTCTAGGGACAGTCTGTTCCCTCGTCTTTTTCAGCTTCTCGAGGTGCCCGCATTCCCTGGCCCGTGGCCTCTTTCTCCATCTTCAAAGCCAGCAGTGTAGCGTCTTCCAATCTCTCTCCCTCTTCCTTCTTTTAAGGATCCTGGTGATTACACTGGACCTATTCAGATAACCCAAGATCATCTCCCTATTTTAAAATCTGTAACTCAGTCCCATCTACAGAGTCCCTTTTGCTATGTAAGGCCACACATTCACAGGGTTCGGGGATTAGGACGTGGACATCTTTGGGGGCCGTTACCTTGCCCACCACAGGCTTCCTGGAGCACACCCCCCGCACTCCCGTAAGCTGTCTACACCAAGTCCTTGCCTCAGGCTCTGCTTCCGGGAGACCCAAACCCACCCTGAGATAAACAATGCCACCAGTCGGCTCTCAGGGCCCCTCAGCCTGTGCTGCCAGGAGCCCACATGGGACTTCTGCACAGAATTTGACCTCACGCTGCTGTCTCCCACCCAGGTCCCCGTGCACCCACCATCAGCCAGCGTTCTCAGTGGCTCCTGGGTCTCAGCCAACTGCTGGAATATCGGGTTTTGTCTCAAAGTTGACCCGGATGGCCTGTTACCTAAAAGAAAGACCCTGACTTGAGACCATATCGGCTGCTGTCCCCAGGCTCCTCAGAGCCCCTCTGTCTCCAGAAGCTGGGGTCCCCAGACCACTGGTGTATTTGAGATGGAACACCCTGCTTGGCTGAGGTGGGGAGGCTGCAGGAAATGGGGTCCCCATTGTGAGAGGGAAAGATTTTTCCCTAAGCTCCGGGACTGGGGAGTGCATTCTGGCTGCCCCGGGTTCAAAACCCAGCTCTCTCACTTCCTGGCTACCCGAAACTGGGCAAGTATGTTCATTTCCCTAAGCCTCCATTTTCCCATCTGTGCAATGGGATAATATTTACCTTCCTCCAGGAGCGAGATTCAAAATGTCAAACAACTCATACAGAACAGGGATCAGCTGTTCCGAGCACATCCAGACATAAACAACCAACAGTGGACCCAGCTCTAAGAGCTGAGCTCCAGGCCTGCCCGCTGCCAGAGCCGCTACGAGGGTTTGAGGAGAGAACACACCGCAAACACAGAACGCTTCCAAGCAACGGCGGCTGTGACGACCTGTCACCATTCTGCCAACGTCATCGGGTTGGAGGACAGTGCTAAGGGTGCGTCCCTCGGCTGGGTGCAAACTGGGCCTCTTGGAAAGCAAGTTCCAACAAATGCACGGAGAGCAGGCACCGCTGATTCAGGGCCTGGGACGAGGCACCAGCAGCCAAGGCTGTGCTGGAGGACTGGCCGCAGCTCCGCCAAGTCTGGACTTTATCTGGAAAATCAGAACACGTCTCTCTCGAGGCTGCACCAAATTGCTCAACTCGAGCATCAGATCTTGGCATCCGCTCATCCGGACGGTGGGCCACGTGGAGATGAGTCGCTGGAGCCAGGGACCCCGGGAGGTCAGGAGGGCGCTGGTGCGGGGCAACTGCCAATCTGTCTGGGAAGGGAGGGCGGAGGGCGGAGGGCAGAGGGCAGAGAGTGGGCTGCTGGTTGGGCTCCGAAGCTTGGGAAGACGCAGGGACAGTGTGACCTGAAGCCTGGAGAAGCCAGCGTCTGCAGATGCTGTCCGAGCTGAAGGCAGAGCCAGCGGTCCTGTTACCTATTAGGGGACACGAGCCCTGCAAAGGCCCAGCCTGGCTTTGGAAACCAAATGTGGGTGATTCCGACGCTCTGAGTCACTCTTGGGAAGGAGCGTTGGTGGACCACGTGGCCCGGGGTGGACTCTTGTTTCCCATTTTGTTCCTCCACACTCCCATCCTGTCCTGGGCCTGCGGGGAGGTGGGCGGACTGTGGGAAGATCGCCTCACCTCGGGGTCCTGGCGGACAAACAGGACAGAGGAAAACGATGGATGGGACAAAGACACAGCACCCTCCCCGCCAACTTCACAGAGCCAGCCCACCCGAGGGGACCTTCCCTCCAGGCAGCCCCAGGAGGAGGGGCGGGAATTCAGAGCCAGCCCTGCTCTGTCCACAAGCGGCTCAGAGAACTCAGCCACCAAATCCACACGCAGTCACACCAGAGCCACCGTGTGTGCAGCAGAACCCTCCACGTATGTTACCTCAGTCAGCCTTCACGGTACCCTAGAGAGTCTCATTATCACTTATAGGTGAGGAAGCCGAGGCCCAGGGAGGTTAAGTAACTTGCCCCAGGACACACAGCCAGAGAGTGGTGGAGCCTGGACTCACCGTCTGGTCTGTGAGATGCTGAAACCCCTTCATCACGCGGACACCACCAAGCTGTAGACGTGCAGCGTGTCCTCTAGTCACACGGCCAGTGGAGCCTAATCGCTGGCATTAACCCGAGGGAACAAAGAATGTGGTCGTCCAAAGGAGAAGTTGTTCACTCAAAAGCAGGGATTGTTCCAGAAGGAGACCCTGACACCAGGGCCAAGCCCTCTGACCGCTGAGCCCCCACATGAAGCCCTGTGGTTTTGTTCCCGGTCTGAGTGGACCACCCTGGGACCATCCCTCTCAGCTCGAAACTTCCAACTGTGGGCCGGCACCTCTGTGCCTGGGAGCCTCATGATGTCCTGGGTGAACGGTGTCCCCACAATGGATGTCCGTCCAGAACGTGTGAGTGTGCCGTTGTCTGGAAATCGGGTCTGTGCTGACGTAATTAGTTGGGACGAGGTCATCCCGGATTAGAGTGGCCCCAAATCCAGTGACTGCTGTCCTTATAGGACAGCCACATGAAGACACACAGGGGACACGGCCGCGGGAAGATGGAGGCAGAGGTTGCAGTGATGCAGCCACAAGCCGAGGACGGCCGGAGCCCACCTGAAGCTGGGAGTGAGGCAAGAAAGGCTTCCTCCCCAGAGCCGTCAGGGCAAGCGTGGTCTTGCGGACACCTTGGCGTCAGACTCCTTCCCCCAAAACCAAGAGAGAATAAACTTCTGTTGCCTTAAGCCACCCAGTTTGTGACGGCAGCCCTAGACATGTGCTCTGCCCTAGCACAGGGGCCAGGGTGTTAACAGCCCTCTGGAGCAGCCCTCAGCTCTGACGGATGAGAGTCGGTGCGTGGCTACCCGGCCCTTGCTCCCTGGTGGGACATCAGTGGGGGGCGTGGGCCACGCCCTCTCGAGAGGCACCAGCAGGAGCAGGCTCCAGGGACCCACAGGGCGCTACCTGGATAACTCGCTTTGCTGGCTGCCTTCTCCCACCTCCCCCCTGCCCTGCTGATGTCGCCTGCCTCTTCCAAACACGCAGCGGGCACCCACAGCCGAACCTCAGGGTCTCCCTCTGGGGGAAGTGAAGAAAGACACCATCTCTCCCCGTCTGGACGTGACGCCTCCAAGGACAGACACTGAGAGCCTCGCCCAGCTTTCCTCAAATACTTCCTGAGCACCTGCTAAGAGCTTTGCAGGGCATGCAGCAGAGAACATAGGCCCAGATCCAGGGGCTGTCTGCAGACCCAGGTGCCTCTCTAATGGACTAATTGGCCAGGGGAAGGAGAAGATTGGGGTCTCAGCTTTGCCCACCATGATTCCTGAATGGACCAACCCAATGCATAGAGACTCATAATAACTCAACTCACAAGAGACTGATGTATATACCATAGCCCATATTTAGTGGGGGCTCTGCCTTTCCAGGGACTGGAGTTGCCCAGGCTCCCGGGCACCTGGCCTGCTAACAGACATCAGAAGGCTGCTGGGAGAACATGCACCTATCCTGACAATCACAAAGTCTTGACGATCCTACTGCCTACGTCCTGAATCTGTCCCCTTCTCCTCATCCCCACTGAGGGCAGGGACCTTCTCTGTCAGGTTTACAGCCATATTTCCAGGGCTGGCACAGAGTAACTGCATACTTGAGGGCAATGTTAACTGTAGAAATTTACATCTCATGGACACGACAGTCCAGTGTGGATGTTCTTGGTCAGGAATCGGTCTTGCCACAGCTGATTTAGGCTTTCAGGCTCCCTCCAGTTTGTGGCCTTGCTGTCCTTGGGGTATCCGAGTCTTTGGCATCCAGCCAGGAGATGGGGTGGACGGAGTATGGAGAACACAGCCCACTTCCTAAGCACCTTGGTGAGAAGCAGCAACCATCTTCACCGCTCACTCCTATTGGTGAAAACAAGTCACATGACTCCACCTGGATGCAAAGAAGCCTGGGAAATGTAGTTCCTGGTCAGGTAGCCTGTCCCTAAAGATACTTCTACATTACAGAAATGGAGCCCAGCTTTGGGAGACAGCTAGCCATCCGTGCATAATAAATATTTGTTTGATTCATTAATCAATGTGTTAACTAATTAACAAAAATTATTAACTAATTAACAAACAAACTATTTGGAAAAGACATGTCGTGAATGGTGGTTGAAATGTTGAGCTGTATCAGGACCCTCGTGATTGAAGGGATTGGGACACAGATCTGGGAGAGAGCTCTCTGCTGACGTCTGCCCCCCAGGGACCCCTGCCTCCTCTCCTGCCTACACATCACCACAGGGCATGTCACCCACCTGTGGGGCCTCAGAGGGGGTCTGGAGGCCAGCTCACCAGCCTCTGCCTGTCCCACCCAGAGAAGCAGACCCAGGGGGGCGTGGGGACGTGCCCGGGTCACAAGGCAAGTCTGTCAGTGAGGAGCCAGGCCCCGGCCGCCTGACCCCCAGGCCACTCAGCCGCTGGACCCTCACTGTTCAGCTAATTACTGCAAGTCCCGGCCCGAGGGCGTCTGTGTGGGACGCTGTGTAAACATTTCCTCTCTGGCAGAGCAGGAAATGAAGGGATGATGAGGTCAAGTGACTTTACTCGGCTCCCGCTGCCTGCCCATCATCCCAGGCCCCCATGTGTGCCTGCTCTTGGCCTTCCCGAGGCTCTAGAATCGGGTCAGACGGACGGCCAAGTGGGCCCCCATCGCCTCCTGCACTTGGACCACGGAGCCCTTGGGCTGAATCCTGCTCTGCCACTTCCTGACTGTGTGCTCTTGGGAAAGTTGGTGAACCTCTCTGAGCTTCCATTTCCTTGTCTGCCAAGTCCCTTCCTTGTGGAGTGGTCAGGACCAAATGACACCATGTGGGCAAAACACTTGGTAGACACCCTGACAGACAGCCAGTTCTCACCATCGTTTTCCTGTTTTTTAAGCTCTTTTTAAAAGATTATTCACTGAATTGTACAGGTTAAAATGGTTAATTGTATGTTATTAAATTTCACTCCAATAAAAAACAGGTTATGTATTAGATTTTTTCCTCCACTGTCCCCCACCATCACACACACACTTACACATACTCACCATACATGCACACACTCTCTCACACACTCACGTACTCTCATTCGTCATCACATTGAAAACTCACAACACCCCTGCAAAGGTGCACCGTGTCCCAAGCTGCAGCTGGGTAAACTGAGGCTCAGAGAAGCAAGCTGCTGGAGGGCAAGTGTCCAGTTAGTGGTAGGGCTAAGAGCCAGCTCAGTTCTACTCAAAAGCCAGAGATAAACACCCTCTGCAGATCCGCCTACGCCCACCCTGTGGACACACAATTCATCGACATTTATGAAGTACCTCTCAAAGGCCTGCTCTCTCTTAGGCACCAGGCTAGGAGCCCTCCCCTCCTCACTGACTTTTGTGCTCAAAGGCACTTCAAGATGAGTTAATCCGGCACCCCATTTAACAGAAAAGTAAACAGACCAGAGAGGTTAAGTGACTTGCCCAAGGTCACACAGCTAATTAGTACCAGACCAGACACACAGCTGAGGCTTCCTGCCTCCCCGCTCAGGGCGGCTCCCCAACTCACTGCAGACACCTCCAGGGGAGCTCTGCTCCAGAGACAGCCCCGTGACCTGGACGCCAGCAGGCAGGCTGGCCGTGATGGGCTTTAGCACATTCATCAGACTTTTAAAAATCTCGAGATACCAAGCTCCATTCCTGAGCTAGTTGGAATCTAAGACCTGTGCCACAGGTGTCTCAAAAAGAAAAGAGAAAAGTTGCTTTGACACGGAGGAGGAAACAATTTCCCAATAGCCTGTGCATCAAATCAAGGTATTTTTCCCTCTTGTGTGGACTGTGGGGTTTTTTTTTTTAATATTTTCAATTAAACTTCGAAAATAAGTTCAAAGAGGAAAAAAAAAAGGAGCCCTTCCGAGCTCAGCAAGAGTTCTGAGCTGTCAGGACTCGGTTGCCCTCTGCTGGACGCCAGGGGCACGGCGATCCATGGATTGTGGTTCAGGAAGGGCTTAACCAAGTATCAGAGCCCCTTCCCAGCCCCCAAGTTGTCGCGGGTCCCACGTGACAGGAGCTGTGCTTGTCATAAGCGGGTTTGCACTTTCTCCACAACAAGCAGCTGCTCAGAACTCAGAACTGCGTTTAAAGGATGATCGTCTTGTTCCTTCATTCATTCACCCGCCAGACACCTTTACGGGGTGCCTACTACCTGATGAGTGCTGCCCTGGGACGGGACGGAGCCAGCCCTGCTCGACACAGCGCGCCCACTCCAGTTGGAGCCACTGAAAACAAGCAAATTACAGATTAACAGACAAAGCAAATTCTCAAAAAAGCCAGGTGGTTGTAAATACTGTGAAAATAAATCAAGGCAGGCAAGGGGCTGTGAGGGCCGTCAGGGCGAGCCGCTCGGAGCACGGACCTGAATCAGCGAGGGGCTGAGTCATGGGGACATGAGGGGAACAGAGGGAACAGCCAGGGCAAAGGCTGGGAGGACAGGGTGTGTTTGAGTGGTCGGAGGGAGAGCCAGGGCCGGTGTGGATGGGGCGGAGGGACTGGGAAGCAGAAGGAGGTGCAGTCAGATGGGGGCCATCCATCCCCACAGCCGCGAGGACGTTTGAATCAGAGCTGTGTCGAGGTGAACACACGGGAGCCACTCCATCGACAGACGCGGCCCAGGCTCTTTGCACTGAGCGACTCCTCAAGGAGCGGACCTCGGAGTAGTTTGGGGTGAGAGCAGGACCACACACAACCACTTTGGGGAATCCCAGAGGCTCGGGGAATTACAGGAACCTGGGAAAACTTCCCATGAAGCCAGCATCTCCCACTGTGACAGGGGCGTGGCCACCGCCACTCACATTTGGGAGAACTACCTGCCTTCTGAGCCCTTTGTACCGTCAGGGGCTGGGATCTCCCTGTCTTCTGGTCCCCACAGGTCACTGTGTGGTGGGGCCCTTGTGGAAAGCTATAGCAGGGAGCACACAGCTGTCTGGAAGTTTCTGAGCCCTGGAGGGCAGAGGCAGGCTTCTTGGGAGCACGCTGTCCACCCCTGCCCATCCCCTCACCACCCAGCCGGCCAGGCTGGGCCACTTTGCTGAGTAAAGGCCTCCGTGTCCAAGGCCACCACTGCCCCCACTTCATTTCCTCTCAGGAAGGGGCCCTGCCTCCCTCTGGCTTAGGTCATGATGACGAACGGAGGACAGCTGACCCCTGGCCCCGGGTCATAGGGCACCAGAGACAGCCATGGCCAGGCAGCGTCTGAGGGGCTCAGGACCGGCAGGCCCACCCTTGCTCAGCGCGTTGGTCCCTCGGGGGGCGGGAGGTGGGAGGCTCAGTCCTGTTATTAGGCTTCCCCGGAGCTGCCTCGCCCTTGAGGCAGAGGAGAGTGTGGCCTGGCCGCATCAGTGCAGGGTCTCGGGCCCACCCACACCACTGCGTTAGGCTCTGCATTGTCACATGCCCACCCCACCAGGGCCCCGATGCACAGGGAAAGGACCACTCTGCACCCTGCCGGGCTGCTGGCACCTTCTCTCCCCCAGCAGCCAGTCCACGCAGGACACGAAGGCCAGGTCTGGGCTAGTGCTGGGTGCTACCCTGGGACAGCTTCGGGACCCCCTCTGCCCCACTCCACAAAGGCCACTAAACTCAAGCCCCGGGGTCCCCCGCCTGCCCTCCCAGCACCTCCCTGCACCCTAAGTGCCCCGACACCGCCCCTCCCCCAGCGGCACAGGGCCATAATTAGCCACACCCACAGCACTTTCCACCAGGGCCCCCAGGAGAGGAAGGCACTTCTCAAGGCTGACATGGGAAAGTGCCAGAGGAAGAGGGGTCGCCACGCTGGGACTCCCTGGCTCCACTGCACAGGGTCCGGGGCAGGTCCCGGGACAGCTGGGACGGGGACCTGCCGGGCAGCAGGGCTGCGGGATCGAGGTGTGGCCGAGCACCGGGTATGTGAGGGACAGTTTGGAATCATACGCTGGATTCAGGGCCCCCAGGGATGCAACCGGGGACCCCAGGGCAGGAGAAGGGCAGCCTGGCCAGCTGGGGCGCGGGCCCCAGGACTGTGGTCAGCCCAGGCTGGAGACAGCTCCCACTTCTTAGCAGTCAGCACGTGCAGACACTCACTCAGAGGGTATCTGCCCTCACCAGGGTTTTTACAATCTCCTTATGAAATTTTTCAAACGTAGAGACAATTAGTAATAAAAACAAATGATTCTCGTTTATCCACAACTTGGACTCAACAATTGTTATCTTTTTGCCAAATTTTCTTCTTGGCAGATAGTCAGATAATTGTTGAACCGTTCTAAAGACTCCAACAGACATCCGACCCTCTGCCCTAAATCCTTCAACAGCATCTCCCAGTGCTGTCAGCTCACATAGCAAAATTAACCAGAATTCCCTAATATCGTCTGGTGCCCGGACCATATTCAGATTTCCCCCATTTTTCCCTAAAATGTCCTTTATGGCTGGCTCTTAGACCAGGACCCAGTCAAGGACTGCACGCTGCACTTGACCGTTACGTGGAGTTTTTACTGTAGAACGGTATCCCCCAGTGCACCCCAAGTTCACCCCGTGCTGTGGGCTGTTGAGGAGACCAGGCGTGTCACACACAGTACCTGTCGCCATCTTCCGGATGAGCCCAGGCTGCAGACGAGGAAACTGAGGCTCGAGAGGAGGGGGCAGCCTTGGGAGATCCAGCGTCACGTGCCTGTCCTTCCTGGCAAGAAGGGGCCCCAGTGACGCCCTCAGTGTGACACCCATAGGCACAAGCCAGCCAACTAGGACCTGCCTGGGACAGAGCCACAGCCAAGAGGGGACAAAGTGCCCCAAGGGACGTTGGCTAGAGCTGCCAAAATCTCTCCGCCTGCAGCTCCAGATCTGCACAGAGGCCTGGGGGTGGTCTGGGCGGTGGGCATCGGGGTCTCCGCTGTGGAGGGCTGGAGGGAGGCCTCGGCGCTGGAGGGGCGGGAGGAAGGGCAGGCCAAGAGCACACTGGATTTTTGCTCATCTGTCCACTGACTCCCACCCGGTCTTTGAGGGCTCCCTCCTACTCTCTGTCTACGCCGACGTCAGTCGTAAAGGTCACTCCCTCAGAGAGCCTCCCGACCCTCCCAGACCCCATCCCGTCCCCCACCCAGTGAGTTCCTAGGGGGCTTCACCGCCCCACTGCTGTTTCTGCAGAGCCACGCCCAGGGCAGCACTCAGCAGGCACTCAGAAATGTGTGGAGACGAGGGAGACAGAGAACATGAATAACAACAACAACAGTAATAATAATGGCTAACACTCATCTTCCTGTGAGCCAGACACTGACTATCCCCGTCTCACAGGTGAGGAAACTGAGGCCTGAGAGGTTGAGTGACTGCCCAAGACAACAGACACAGCTGTAAGCAGTGGAGCAGGTGGGCCCACCTGAGCTCTGGGCGTCCACAGGCCGAGAGGAGAGGTGGGTGAGGAGGACAGTGGGAAGGCCGTGTGGGTGTGCTGGGATGGTAGGTACAAGGAGCCCAGGCTGCAGAGAAGTGTGCCCCGGCCCCTACCCAGGGGAGCTGACAGCAAAATGGAAACTTGAAAGGCCGTAGTGATGTCCCAGTGCAGACAGGGGAGCGGTCTGCCGGGGATGGACTTGAGAGGAGAGAACACTCTGCAAGGGCCAAAGGGGAGATGCTCAGCTCTGGGGCACGGGGAACCGGCAGGCCCCACATCCCGAGATCCTGATTTCGCTGGTCTGCACGTGGCCAGGGCACCATTTAAACGCAGACCGATTAAATGTTTGTTCATTTAACTCCTGCACGGTAAGGAATTACTGGCTTTGGGGGATGGCAGAGATTGGCGTGAGAGCCGGGATTTAATTCAGAGGCACTTAGAAAGTTCCAGAGCAAGGAGAGTGGTGATAGAGGAGACTGAGAGGTAGGCAGGGCCAGACCACACCTCAGAGCTTGGATGTCACCGTGGGGCCATGGGAGGATCTCTGCCTGGGGATCTCCCTGTCCTGCTGTGAGGGCTCCAAGGAATCAGGTGAGGCCATCTGAGGTGGGGGAGGCGGGGGTGCCAGAGCAGAGTCTCCACCATCGGCGACCCAGTTCTGGACTGCAAGCCCACAGGAAAGCCGGGTCCCTGCCTGGAGTGACATGTCTGTGCACCTGGGTGGGGTCTAACCCCCGAGAATGTGAGCCCCATGAAAGCAGGGACTGCCCCAGGTTCCCTGCTGGGTCCTCAGCCAGTGGCCCAGAGCCTGCACATAGTTGGTGCTTAATAAATATGTGATGACTTGTCAGATGCTAGTCATGGGGCGAAGGGAACTGGGCAACCACACAGGCGACAGAGAGAACCAGGCCCAGTGGGAGACCAAGCACTGGAAATGTGCCGGCCACCCTGGCACTCCCAGCTGCTGGCCTGCTCCCCCAGGTGTGTCTCCTAGAATGCCGGCTCTCCTCCTCCCTCTCCTCCCCTCCGTCCCACCCTTCTCTCCCTCTCTCATCCTCCCTGACACGCTGAGGCAGCACACTGCCGAGGCACCTGTCCCAGGACACATGGCAGAGGCCAGGAGCCGCTGCAAACTCACCAGGAAGGGAAACCGAGGGCAGGCACATAAACAACATTGACGGGAAGGGAATCCCAGAGGTGCAGCAGGAAGAAACGGGGTAGACTTTGGGAATCACATGGTCTCAGCCGACAGGGACCGAGGATCAGAGAAGAAACTGGCCCAAAGTCACCAGCAAATTGGTGCAACGTGTGCCTGGCTCCGGTGGCTCTGTGGTAAATGCTCAGCTGCCCTCTGAGCCCTAATATTCCAGCTGTAGCTGTTAGTCTACAAACGGGTAGCAGACATTGTGGGTGCTCCCCCCAGGAGATGCCCCATCACTTTCACCGTTTTGGCATGTTCTTCCCCCAGCTTCTCCGTGTTTCTGCTTCTATGGGCGTGCACCTGGGACTTTTCTGAGAACTGTCCATGGGCTACTGGAACAGCTTGGCCCCATCCCCTGGGGCAGCCCTGAGACCCTGGCTTCCCATGTGGGACTCTGGAACCCGCTCTGCAGCCTGACTCACTTTCCTGAGCCCATTGAGAGCAGGCTGAGGCTGGGACTTTGCTTGAGGTCGCTGCTGGCCTGCCATCTTCTCTTTCCTCCTCCTGTTTCCTGCACCCCTCCTGGTTTCCCCCGGAGCACTGTCTTCATCACTTCTTCACAAATCCAGCCTCAGGTCTGTCTGCAGGGAACCCGATCTAAGTCAATGGAGTACCTTCCCCATGAGCACTTTGAGAAAACTTATAAAATCAAGGGAGCTGCTTCCCAGGGAGAAATCATTCGTATTTACATAAATTTGCATATAGGTCTGGATCGCCAGAAGTCTACCCACACCCCGCTTTGAGACCACGAGCCCAGTTTAAGATCTGCTGCCTTGGAGTGTGTGTCCAGTGGAGGGAGACAGGCAAGACCTGGGCCTGCGTTTGGATCACGGCCACCCACCTGCAGGGTGAGTGAGTACCTCAATTTCTGCCCTCTCTCTGCTCAGTTTCCTCGCTGCAGAATGGGTGTAATAATAACACCCTTCTCATAGGATTCTCGTGGGGACTGGTTACAATCATCCACATCAAGTGCTCAGCATGGCGCCCTGCACATCGTAAGCATGGTATAAACACTAACTGATGCTGTTATTGTTGTTATTTTGCTGTAAGCTGCGTCAAGTCCTTACTGATTTGCTTGTGATTAGAATAATTAAATATGCAGAGCCACGGAGAGGCCATTGAGAAAGGTCTGATCCATTTCCAGTATCCAGATATTTGGAATCATAAGTCGTAGCTGCTTTCCACATATAATCTCGAATAAATCTGGAGATGAGCCCTGTGAGGGACTATATTACCAGGCAAGGAAACCCAGCTGCAGAGATGGGGGAGCGGTAACCCACCCTGGGTGACACAGCGAGCAGGGGTGCCGTGGATGACCCGCCCATTGTTCCCATCCCCCGAAAGCCATGGACACACCCGTGCAGGATGTCACTGAGAGACTCCCAGGTGCCACGCACAGTTTGCCCCTTTTCTGGAAAGAGTTTTTGAGGACCGGAAATCTGGATCTGTTGTCTCCAGTCCCGTGTCTTCTGCTGTTCGTCAACCTTGGAAAGCAGCTGTGAAAATATTGCTTCCGCCTCGTGGGTTCCCATGCAAACCCTCCCAGAACTGGGGAAAGTGCACTGCTTTCCATGGTTCACGACCCATGGCCTTTCCTCTCCTCTCCAATTCAGGAACTGAGTGTAGTTCCCTTCTCCCCAATGCCGGGCCAGAGAGGAAGCAGTTTCTGCCCACTGCAGCCTGCACAGGCGGAGACCTGGGTGCGCTGCTGGTTTCCTGCCTGCCCTTTGCCCCCTATCACCCCTCACACACACCCATCCTCCACATATTCCCACTGCTCCTGCCAGGCAGCCCACCTGGATTTCATCCACTCACCAGACAGGAGCAGGCGAGGGTGCCCAGGGCTGGCAGAGGGCTCTCCTTTGAAACAAAACAAAAAGAGTCCCCACAGGGCAGCCGCCAGCCATACTCACAGGTCACGGGTAGGACATTTTTTACATGGCCGTTCTCTTACACCAGTAATGCCTACTCAGTGGAGGAACACCTAGAGCAAACGAAGGAAATAAAACACCCGTAATGACATCAATAAAATAAGAACCATAGCCAATTACTGTGAAGAACTGGCTGGGCCAGGCGCTGTGGTATATATTTATATATTCTTTTCTGTTCGTCCGCTGGCTAGAGTCCAGTCTAACTCCATGCCTCATCCAATGCTTGAGTCGCCAAGAAGCTGTCATCCAGCTTGTATGCTTCTAGGAGTGGGGAGCTCACTCCTTTCCAAGGTTAGAAAGTTCTTCCCCATGGGATGAAACTGGCCCCCCCGCCCCTTCCTCCATCGGACCTTTGGAACTAGCCTCACAAAGCAAGCCTGCCTATGGCCACTGAGACAGCCAGACACGATTGTCCCTCCTCCCCAGGTCTTCTCCTCTCTGTTCCGTCACCCTTTCTCTGGGGTTCAACCACCTCTCCCTGGTCGGTAGAAGCCACCACTTACTGAGGGCGTCCTTCACACCAGGAGCTTTGTGGACGCCCCCCCAGTCCTCACAACACTGCCATGTGGGCAC